AAAATTGGGTTTTATTAATTTCCCAAAAAATACTCAACTTATTTTCTTTATATTTAACACAGGATGTATTAGACTCAGTCAGTCAAGGTCAAAGTAAATTGGATAATGCAACGGAAAAAGGAGAGAGACTTTACTACTGTTTGCCAAAGGCACTTGTGCTCAGTATTCAGGAGAAAATATCAAAAGCAGAAAAAGAGTTCCAGGGTTTCAAGAAGCAGTGTCTGAAAGACAAGCAGGCTTTAGAGGACTGTGTCTCTGAGCTTGGAAGGTTAGTTGTTGCAGGCATTTATACCAAACACATTGTCAAAATATTCACATATTCATTCATCATATATTAGGGATGCACTGATAACGATACTAGTACTTACCCAAATGCTCGGGGTAATGACTCGCCACCAGGCTTCCTCAGTGGCCGGGAAGCAAACTTCATGCTGTTTGACCAGCTCAATGCTGACTGGCTGGGAAGACGGCTTTCCAGCCAACCAGCATGGAGCTGGCCAAACAGCATGGAGCTGGCTTCCTGGCTAATCAGGAAACCGGGCGACGGGTTATGACCCGCCTCCCGACTTCCTGATTGGCCGGGAAGCTGGCTCCATGCTGAGTGGCTGGGAAGCCGGCTTCCTGGCCAATCTGCATTGACCCAGCCAAGCAGCATGGAGCTGATACCGAGAAACCAGTATTGGTACTATATATTATACATATATATTATATATATTATACATCTCAGTTGTTGTTAGCACATAAGCTATATAAATAAAGGTTGGTACAGTGTGACATGATGAATATGCGTTCAGATATGGCCATTGCTTCAACTTAAAGCAAAAAATATTTTAATCTTCCTTCCTTAATATAGTAAAGGAGCCCTGGGCCCTTAGGACAGGTGCCTCCATCCTGGAATCCACAAAACCCAGCAGACAGGTGTAATACAAACAGAGCATACTGTAAGTGGTGCTATAACCCACAAGAAGTAGTAAATAGGTAATGGAAGATTAAACCTGATCGGGTGCTGTTAGTAAGTTTTAAGTTCCACATTTCATACTTTTTATCAGGACAATATAGAAACAAGTTTTTTTTTTACAGTGTACAATTCTACGGTTTTAATCCTTCTCTGCTGTTTATTTCTTTTGGCTGGCAATCCACCTTAATGAAGCAAACGTCTATAACACAAAGCAGCACAAATCAGATTTTAGTTACTACACTCAATGCTCTTTGCTTTAATAGAGCGTGCATGTAGCTATATTGAGCAAATACATGGATGGTAAATTGAGAGCAAATCATTTGGATTCATTGGAGAAACATAATTTTTCTACTAAATATCTGACTGTAACACACCCAATGTATGCTTTTAGCTTTGAGGATCAACATAAAAAGTTAAGCTTGTGGCTTCATGAGCTGGAGGAGCGGATTAGGACAGAGACCCTTGGAGAAAGCAAGCAGCACATTCCAGAGAAGAAAAGTGAGATGCATAAAGTGGAAATGTTCTTGGAGGAATTACTGGCTGCACGGTAAATATGAGTAAAGAGTTTTTGAATGTATCTAGTGGCAACAAATTCTGCAGCACTACTGAGTATATATACTTGAAATGTAAATTTTGTTTCGTTCCGATCAGATTTTTGTACAAATTTTATTAAATTCAGAAATTCAAATGCATCCAAATTTGAACGCATCCGAATGCGAACAAATCTGAATGTTCGTTTAGCGAAAAAAGCTATTGGGGGTTGCATTACAGGGACAATCATATGACATCCTGCTGTTGATTGTTCCGAAATGAAAAGTTGGAGGGATATGAAATCCAAATAACAAACTGAATCGAATTTCATCGAAAAATGAAAGAAATACAAATTTTAATCGATCCGAAACAAAACAAAACATTTTTTTTGTGGGGTTACATGTCTAATATATATCACATTATGAACTAGAATATACTGGAATATACACTAGGAGGGTTATTCACAAAGCTACCTGAAGGATCAGCTGTAGCTCCGGCTGATCCTTCGGCTAGCTACGGCCACCGGAGCCCTTCGGTTCAGTCGCCTTCGGTTCAGTCGAACCGAAGGGCTGCTGTATGGGCTATTCACTCCCGAAGCTGGCCAAGCGGCTCAGCCAAGCCAAGTTGTTGTGCATTGGCCGGGACCTGCTAGAAGACTCTAGCAGGTCCCAGCCAATAGGTTGGGCCCTGCTAGCTGTCACTGCTAGCTCCACCCAATTGTTTCTTTCTTCTTTTTTTTCAATGGTCTTTCTTTTTGGTTTTTCATTAAACTTCATTTTTGGTTTTTCTTTTTTCAATGATCTTCATTTCGTTACTTTTTTTTTTTAAATCTTTATTTTTGTTTTTTTGGGGAAATCTTTATTTATTTTTTAAGATTTATCATTTATTTACTTTTTTAAACATTATTTTTCTTTTCTATTTTATTTTTTCTACTTTTTGCACTGATTTGGTATTCTGCTCGGTACCACGGAGGCTCGGCGGCATTTGACTATTCACTCAGTGCCATTCGGCCCCTATGAGAATAGGCCGAATGGCAGCGAGTAGCCTGTCGGAGGTTCAGCTGAGCCTATTCAGATGTTGGATCGGCTGAGTCGAACTCCTTCTGCACTTCGGCGAACCGAAGCTAGCCGAATCAAGCCGATGTACGATCAGTCATTCTCTCTCTCAGGCTAAAGCATCCATATTGCATCAAGTACTGTACACCAGTGCTCCCCAACCTTTTTATCGCCGCGGACCGGTCAACGTTTGATAATTTTAAAATTGCCGTTCAAGTGGTGAAGCAGTTTTGAAGGTTTCATTGCCTCATTAGAGAGCTGGTCGCCGCAAACTATGCAGAGCGGTTTTGGTGTGTGGGAATCGCTTGTCCCGATAAATCCATATTTCAAGTAGGACTCATGGTATTGTCTGTTAAAGTTACATGTTTCTTTGATGTTGAAGGCCCTTCTTCTGTCTCTTCACTTGGCCTTTTCTTTTTCCCAAGGAAACTTTCTAACGACGTCTGTTTCATACTCATTTTTGCTAATTTGTGGGTTAAATTTGAGCAAACACAATATACACGTACACCAAGCACTGTTAAACATGAGAAAGTACCGGTGAACAGAGAGAAGAGCGATGCACACCTTCTCTTTACCAAAGCTACTGCCGCTTGCAGCCGCTCAGCTCCAGACGTCACCTAAAACCGCCCTGATATCACGATATTTTGCGCATGCGCGGTATTGGTGCGGCTTTAGGTGACGTCTCTCAGCTCCCGGTTAACCTCTCGTCCTGGAAAGTCGGACAAACCCGAGAGAAACACACCACAGTAAATAAAATGGAAATAATTTAATGTTCCTTGGCCTGGTACCATTTGATCCACGGACCGGTCCCGCGGCCCGGGGGTTGGGGACCACTGCTGTACACCAACGGAGCAAAGGACTGGCTGCACAATTCTACGGAAGTCATTGAGGGGAATATATCAAACCAGGAGCAGACAGAATCCAAAGCAGTTGCCCATGGCAACCAGTCAACGTCTATCTTTCATTTTCAAAGCTTAACCGAATAGACTGAAGCTAGAAAATGATTGGTTGCTATAGGCAACTGCTCCAGATTCTGTCTGCTCTAGTTTTGATAAATTCTCCTCAGTGTGTCAGACAGTCATTTTCATTCATCTTATAATGGCAGATTGTAAATTAAATGAATGTTGCAGTTCCAGGACTATCAGTGTATCAGCCTTATTAGCTGCAGTCCATAGAAGGGCAAGGAAAAAATGAAACAGTATTGTGTCTACCTTATGTCTCTTTTTTATATTTATGTATTAATTGTTTTGTCTTATACTCTGTGTTGTAGAGATTCATTTGAGAAACTTTGCCAGCGAGGTCAGACCCTCCATGAAGATGGCCGAGGTGATGGTCAAGAAGTTCGTCAGTCTTCCCAGCTTCTCACAACCTATCAGAACTTGGTAAAAACAATCAAGGACAAGCTTCGTGTCTGCCAGGTGGCTGTACAAGAGCATCAGATTTTTGAAGAAGCATTGCAAACCACATGGTTAGGGCTGAAAGATATTCAAGACAAACTCTCCACTACAGAAAGCACAGTGGGAAACAAAAGCACACTTGAAAAACGTCATCTGCAAGTTCAGGTAAGTGCTGCCGTTTGATCACAGATATTAGTGGCCACATAGTAAATGTCACACATTTCTACATTATACACAGTCAGCAACATCAAGAACCATGAGCTTAAAAGTTGAGTTATTCTATGCTGATTGAGTGTGAGGGGTACGCTCAGTTTAAACGCCACCCCACATAATTTCACCCCAGTCACTCAGAACCTGGGCCTAAAAAACAATGTATGAGGTGAATGTGTATTGACTTTATGCATACAGCAGGGATGCCCACAAGGTCGATCGCGATCTACCAGTCGATCGCGTAGCGATCACTGGTAGATCGCCATGTCCTCTCCTCCCGCCGCTTCTCTGGATCCCCGCTGCTCTCCCCAGCGGGGATCCGAGAAGAAGTGAAGGAACCGGCGGCGGGGGAGGGCGGAGCCGCTGTCACAGAACTAATGCAGAGCCGTGAGGAGAGAGAGAGCGAGACGCTCGGCCAGGATCTGACAGCCGGCGCCTCTATCTCCCCTCACTGCTCGTCCGTTCTGTCAC